TAAAATGAGATGTTTATCCTGTATTTGATTGTGTTTATCTGCAGTTAGTTACACGAATTCAGATATGGGATGAAATCGGATAGGGATGAACGGGTTTAAGAGTTTTTAAGATTTTAAGAGTTTTAAGAGTTTAAGAGTTTTAAGAGTTTTTAAGAGTTTTAGCCAAATGCTTTATAATATAGTATATATATATATATATATATATATATATATATATGGAAGATGAACAAGGTAAAAATAAGATAACACAAAAACCATAGAATCAATATGATTTTGCCCTGAAATCATATGCGATTGAAAATTATACATAATTTTAATATAAAATTAAATATAATTTAATAATTCTCTGTTTTGTTAAATATTGGTTTGATTCATCTCCCTTTATATATAAACGTTTGAATGAAGAGTTGTGTTTCTAAACTATAAATAATAATAATAATAATAATAATAATAATAATAAATACTAATAATAATTTTGTTTAATTTATTTGTGGGTTATTCCGACCAAGAGAGGGAAAGTTGTATGAGGATGACAGTAGTTGTCTACATGCATTACCCCTGCCTCACTTTACATCAATTTCCATGCATTTTTTTACCGGCAAAGATAAACGAAATATCATAAAAAGACTAACAAGACGCTAGCAAGGAGAGAGTACAGGCAAAAAACAAGACATGGGGGAGTTGCACCACACTATCCAACTATTCAACAAAAGACCTTTCGGAACTCTATTTTTAAACCAGAAAAAAGAATACGCCTGAAGCTGGCCTGCGAGAAAAGTAGCCGAATTCATAGAGGGAGCTCTGAAAATTTTACGGTTTCGCAAGTTCCAGATAATCCAGAAGAACCCGTAAACCACTCCGATAACGCCTTTTTACACATGGAAGTCCCGGCCACCTCCGAGCTACGATCCAGAAGATTGTCAATCGAGTTAACCTGTCCGATATCCACTTTCCACCAAATACATGAATAAGGTCAACTTATGAAAATATAAGATGAGATGTCGTTCTAAAATAAAATCACATGTGATATAATATATTTAAAAACACTAGTCGATTTGGTCAATACCACCAAGCTGATCGGAAAACTTGCTTTTATAGGGATGGATTTGACTGTGATACGCGATTTTCAATAACGTGTACCAACCAAGTTTTTATATTTGGGTATGGTAATACCAACCGACTGAAATTGGTACCTTTTAATTGGTACAAAATTTCCACCCCTATATATGTTGGTTGGTCAACACGACATGTGTGCAGTGGTGAACCCATGGTTTTTCCTCAATGGGTGCACCTTTAATTAGGGTTGCAACGTCGCAGATTGACTCGTGAGAAAAGTCAACGTGATTTGATCGGAGAAAGTCAATTGTTTCGATTTGGGAATAAAATATGTTATTCCAAATGGAATCCACTTTTTGAACAAGACACAAGATTACATCTTACGTCTCACGTGTGTTTAACTGAAATTCCATTTTGTCAGAGACTTTTTTCGGATTTTGGTTGATTTCGTAAATTTTCTATTTTGGATTTGATTAATGTTATTCTTTACTCTTTTTGTAGGTTTCTAAATGGTTTCTATAATGAAGATTGACTAAACAAATTTATATCAATAATACAACTAAGGTTTGAGAAAATTAAAATTAAACTAAGAAAACTAACAGATTTAAGGTGAATCAGATTAAAAAAAACCAGTTTTAACAGATTTAGGACAAATCAAATGTACAATTTAAGATCAGGGTTTTAGTCAATGACAATATTCAAATCAATAACAAAATAATAATCAAGAGTTTAAGACAATCAAGATAGTAATTAGACGTTTTATAGTAAATATTTATCAATAACAAAATTATCATTAGAAACTTTTACATAATTAAATGTTAAATGTATTATTCTTTTTACAATGATTAAGATATTATAAATTATATTTTTATTAATAATTTAAAAAGCTAAACTATAAAATAAATTGAAAAAAAATTTAGAACACATATTTGAAATTTGGTTCAACATCCCTAGTGATAAGCTTCCTACATTCCCTATTTTTAAGACCCATGTTTCCTTTATATTTTTTTTTATTAACTTGGATATCTAACCCGTTATACGAACCGATTAATCACATGGTGACCACCTGCTTTGCGGGTAGTCCGAAGTCACCGTATTTGAATCTCATGGCCACAAGAGAATTTTTATTCTTTCTTGGATTTGAACTTGGCACCTCCCGACATTTTTGATCTTTAGAGCCCAAGTTCAAATCAATCAGACATCATCCTTATGATTGCCTTTATACTCTTTAAGTATATAAACGCTGAAATTGTCCCACATCAATTAACCTAAAGAGTTATCCTCTATACCCTTTTCTATAAATAGTGCTTCTAAGGGTCTTTTCTTTCTTTGGCTTGCAATACCAAAAAAATAAGGGCACTTATGAGTGCACCTTTGAACCATTAAAGTTTTTCTCTAAGGTCAATAAAGAGCGGTTGCATAGGACCCTACTCGACTGTACACAAATTTACCCCTATATGTTCGTATTACTCATGTTTGTATCAATAATGATCGGGTGCATGGAACCCTAATAGCACATCATCCATTATTTTTCTTTCAAGTTTTAAACCCTTATAAGACAAGAATAAGTAACGAGTTTGAAAAAAAATTATAGCAAACTAAACGAGTTTGTTTAGGTTTTAATCATCACACCCCTATAGTTTTTATAGTCCTCCTCACACACATCAACTTCAACAAAGCTTACATTTAAAATTTTTAATGTATATTTTAACCTAATTTTGACATAAATAAAAATGCATACAACAATACCAATATATAGACTTGGGATCATGTGAGACCAAAAGTTTTTTTGTAAGACCCGTAAGACCAATTTTCAACCCTTGGATTAGATCTACAATCTGACAATATGAACATTCATAAATGCCACAAGACTTCTAAATAATCACAAAATTGCCACCGTGCAATTTAGATCAGTAGATCATTAACTTATAAAGTTGATCAATGAACATAAATTGGTTTTACGGGTCTCACAAAAAACCTTTAGTCTCACGTGAACCCAACTTCCTCTCTCTCTATATATGTATGTATGTATTTCAATTCTTTGCATATAGCATGACAGGTATCTCTTAATTTTACATAATCAAGAAAGACTATCAAGTTTCATATATTAATCAATCAACAAGCTTCATAATGCTTAATTACCGACACTTTCATTCTTCTACAACACCCTCCATATAAATATTATATATATATATATATATTACAGTTTCTAATGTTCCTCCCCTTTGGCGATCTTCATCCGATATCAATTCCAGTCGTCATTCATCAACACCCTATAACCACCATCATTCTGTGGATCAACACCTCTAATTTCACCAGTTCCATGATCAAACATATTGTAATTCTGGTGATCAGATGATAAACTTGAGCATCTGCTCTTCTCTTTCTGTTTCTTGGTTCTCAGTAGAAAGTTAACATCATCCCACTTGGACTTGCATATCAGTGCATTCCTGTTGTTGTAACCCAAACAAGCCATTCTCAAAGCAATTTCCTCCCACAAAACCTCTGCCATAGACGTCCCACCTTCTTCAAATCTTGTTTCCATGCCACTTCTTAGATGTATCAGTTGTGTTATCTCATTTTCTTCCCAATTCGACACGCTGCTATCGCCGGTTTTCTCGTATTTACGATCATTACTTTCCTTCGTAGTTAATTTGAGCAAAGCTTCCATCAAAGCTGAATCTCTTGACTCCATCCATGCTCGTTCGCTTGCTCGAAACTTATTTTCCATTTCATATCTCGTAGACGCTTCTTTCCTCCATCGCTCCTCTTTCAAAATTCTCTCTTTTTCCTTTTCATCAATTGTCTTCATCATCTTCACCATCCATGCCTCTTGTTTCTCCATAAGCGTCTGCACTTTTGTTTCGATGAAATCCGTTATCTTGGTCTTCCAACACTTTCTTCCCGGCCTTCTCTTGTTCCTCTCAACACAATGGCTGTATACATCGTCCCTGAACGGCGGCACGGTTGCATTGTAGTTTTTGTAGTCGCACGATGAAGAATCGAACATAGATGGATTATTGGGAAGGTGTGGATTTGCTTGAAAAGTATGAGTTTCAATGTTAAGGTTCGAGATCGAAGGTGGCTTAGGATCTGGATTGGTACTAGTGCCCGTTTCGCCGTATAAAGCTTCAAGATGGCGAAAGAATCGATAATGCTTCTTGTTTTCTTGTCTTCCAGCTTTCCCTTCTTTAATCTTCTTGTAATACTTGTACAAGTTTTCAAATTTTTCATTGCATTTTTTCCCAGATCTTTTATACCCATGCTCCATGGACATTATCCTGAATTAATTAAACAACTCCTCACCAAACAACAAGATCAAAGAAGAAAAAAAGGTATAGAAGTGATGGTGATCTTTGCTGTCATGAAGTACAAGTCCCATGTGGTTTGTTGGATTGAGCAGCTATTATTAGCCCAGATTGGAGTCTTGAAGACCATTTAAGATGGCACAAGAAAGGTGAGTCTTTTAACCTTTTTTCAGGCTGGTTAATTACTTGCATGATTCAACTAAAAGAGGTGAAAACTGAAAAGTGTGTCCACTTAAAGCTAGATGGTGTAGTTTTCAAGAAAGGTGTTGAATCATAAGAGATTCATCAATGAAATCCTTGAAGCATGATCATATCACAGTTTTGAAAGTAAGCTTTTGATCTTTGAACATTAAACTGGAAAGGTGTTGTTGATCATCAGTGTCACTCGATCGTCTGGATGCTTGATTGTTCAGGGTCTTGGAATTAGGGTTCTATGATTCACTTTTAACTAAAGAATTAATCCTTCTCTAGAGTGAATCATAACTTAGCTATACTCATGTTGTTTTATATAGACAAAACCCCAAATGATCTCTGGTCCTAAAACCAGAAACGAAAAGAAGACGAAGAATGTTGAGAGAGGGAAAAAGAGAGACCTTGAAACTTCATCCCATAAAGGCCCTTTCTGATTAGCTTCTTTGAACTTAGAATCAAGTCTTGATCGGATCTCTAGGAGTGCTCGAGTTTCTTCCGTTGGCCATCTCCCAGAATCACAACCACCAATCTCCATGTCTAAACCATTACCACCGCCACCACTGTGATCAGAAGTTGCTGCTGCTGCTGCTGCTGTTGATGCCGTAACATCCATTGTTGAATCAAATCCAAACGATGTCATTCCACCACCACCACCACCACCACCACCACCACCTCCCAGCATCACCATGGCGTAGTGCAGGTCACAAGGAGGTTGAGGTTGAGGCTGTGGCTGCGGTATGGAAGGGAAGATGGGCCTTCCCTTCGTATAGTGAGTTGTCAGATCCCTCATCCCATACTTCTCTTCCATTTCCATCTTGGTTTTCAAGTGTCTTATTTCTTTAACCTTTTCAATAGTTTGTGGAAACAAGTTCTCCTGTGAGGATGAAAGAGTATGAACTTAGGATAGGGTATCAGAGAGATCCCTGGTGAAGGGATTAGGTTAGAATGGCCTTGGACCCATCTCCTTGTTTGTTCTTAAGAATACATAACCTAAATAATAGAGACTAGATGTACAGTATCATCATGATGTACTATATGTATATCAACTATGTATATATGACAACTTTAATCGAAAACCTAAGTTCCGTTGTAAACCGGAGAACAAAGGATTTCGCATCACATGTCCCGTACATTTATATATGACTTATTCATCATGAATGGTGCATTATTTACCATGAAGTTCACTTTCTTTATTCATGATGAATATGAAAGGTTTGCAACTGAACTTCCAGATATTTCATACTTATCATCTTATATTGTATCTTTATCTTTATCTCTCTCTCTATATAGATATATATATATATATATCTATATTTGATGAGAGAGAAGGAAAGGAGAGACGAGCACAGACCGGTAAAAACACAGGCTCTTGGAATAAGAAATGTTAAAAAAGTGAACGCAACAAGTAGTCTACTTGTCTTCCCTAAATCTTGATCCAATGCTTATGCATCTACAGTGCCCACCCCCTATTCATCCTTCTCAGAGTGTCTCCCCAGTCCCCACTCTAGCTTTTTCTCTTTTGGTATTATTTTTCTTACCCTTTTTGGTCATATTCTTTAACAAGTTTGTGGGTAAGTGTGTAATATATATATATATATATATATATAGAGAGAGAGAGAGAGAGAGAGGTTATTATGCAACCAATACAACTCAATCTCAATCGTCCATTTCATTTGATTAATATGTGATTTCATAGAAGTTTTGATTGTTTCTAATATAAAGTATTGATCATAATTAATGAACCATATTCATCTTCTATAAATATTCAAACCATAATAAATGAGTACTCATCATTTTCATAAATATCTCAATTTATTGGGTTACATTGGTTGTACAAATGCGACAGATTGTATTTGTTTTAATAGAATGTACGTTTTGGAAGGACAAGAAATTATAGTTTGATATCATGTGAAAAATCATTTATTAGTGTGTTTGATAACTTTGTTAACAAACACTGAGTTTATAAGATATTTACAATGTTCAATCTCCTTATAGATTGTTTTATAGAACCAAACGATAAATCATAATGCCTTAGAAGTGTTTGCAATAAGTTTATAAGACGTTTTTGGCGTTTTAACAAAGTTTTTATGACATTTTAAAAATAAAATGCCGTATTAACTATTTTTTTTTATAGGACACTTGTTATCTATGACATTTTTTCAAATAACGTCCTATAAAATAGCTAATACGACGCTTTGTTTTAAAATTGTCCATAGAAGTTTGTTAAGACGATAAAAAAACATCCTATAAACTTATTGCAACATGCTTAGATAAGATGTTTTATTGTTTAATCCTATAAACATCAGTCCTACAAGGTAGTCTTTTGGGACGCCTAAGTATTTTTAGCGTCCTATAGATTTGATGCAACACCCTCCAATTTAGAAAGAACGATTAATTTAAAATTTCAATAATATATCGAATAAGGAATAAACTACTTTCTAGTTGTCAATACTTTCTTATCTATGATGCAAAGCTTATTAAGAACACCCATTTTACTCCCAAAACATATACAAGGAAATCCAAAAGAAGAATGAGGATCGAGGTGAAAAGGACCAAACCCTAGGTTAAGAAATGGCTGGTTATGAGCTTACCTTTCAACTTATAGGAACCCTAAATCATCAAGAAAACTTTAATTTTTTTTTATTCTCCCGTGAAGGGCTTCAAAATATGAAACTACAACCTCCACAATCGCCTCAATCTGATGAGAAATGAGAGAGTTATGACCAAATGAAGAAAAAAACCCCACAAAATGATTTTAAGCCATCTGAAGGTTAAACCCTTGTTAAGCCCCGCTTCATGGGCGTGAAGCTCCCCTTTCACGGGCGCAAAGAAATGCTTCCAAAAATTATACGTATAAAAAATCTAGGTTTTACACCTGATTTTGTTCTATCAAATCCATCTACATTTCTTTATTTACTTGAAAACTACGAATTTGTTTTATAGGAAAAGATACATAAAGCCAGAAACAAGATGCTCGGATTTTGTTATAAATTGAAAATCTAATTCAATTTTGAAATGGTATGCATTCCATCAAAACTCGTAATTGTTTTAGATATCAATCAATTATAATCGGTACGTAAAATCTTGTACCATATGCCAACTTTTTTCGATTGATACATGTTGGTACTGGTTTTATACCAACTCATGTTACATATATGAAAATTTTAAATTTGTTCAAATTTTGAGTTTTCAAGTAACATATATGACTGTAATCAGTACCAATTAAGTTGGTACCAAATTAATTGATACAATTGATATATATGTTGACTGGTTTAATCCGATAAAAAATTGCCATCCCTGCTTTTTTATTTTATTTTTATAAGTCAATAAACTGTAAGACTTAAGAGCACTCATCATGCATGTACGGTGAAGATGTAGTGTCAAAATGGATTAAGCTTGTTTATATTTTAAAACTTGTTACGATTTTAAACTCAAAATATATCAATTTAAGAAAAATCAATAACAGATTTGAAACCACGTACCATCTTGACTCGTACATCCCATCTCTCTCGCTTGTCTCTTGCTTTTTAATCCCTATTTGGAAGCTCATTAAATTGGAGCGAAATGTGCTGGTGGTCAGGGTCGGTCCTGAGTTTCTGGCTCTATGTAGGAATGCTAAAAAATGCTTGTATGTCGATTTTTTTAGCAAATTAAACGTATTATTTTCTAAAGGGCTTGGGACCTAGTCAAACAAGGCGGTTCATCCCTATGTTGATGGAATCAAAACAGTCAAACGAGAAGGGATGAAGAACAATAGGAAACAATTTGGTTGTTCACTAGCTAGTTTAATGACCGTATTCATGCTGTCTTTCTCTAATTAGATTAGCCGCTTAGTTGATGTCCTAGACGGCTTGGGTTTGTTTATAAACCAGAAAACTAATAACACATAAAAACTCAATGCCCCTTGGACTTGTGATGCCTTATGCGATCGCACGAGCTACACGTGACCAGAACCGGGCCTGGACATGTTGTTGTGTACATATTTATTAGATTGATACGTGTCACACGCATCTACAAATCAATACTGTATGTTTATGTACATTGTCATATATGCACTACAAAACAAATGTCTTTTATCCACAAATATCACCCGAGAAAATGCAGTCGGTAATTATCGACAGATTACCTAGAAAATATTGATGGTTCGGTAGAATCCGATACTTTTCAAGAAAATGCCAACGGAAAACCAAAAAAATGCATGGGTATTATGTCACTGATTTCAATTACTCACCAACTTTTGTGACAGTTTTACGATGAATCACCCTTAGCGACGGATTTTCCAGGGAAAAGTCCGTAGCTAAAAGTTTTCCTTTTAATAGTGATGAACATATACAACCTCATCGTAAATACATTACAATCAAAATCCAGTAAAAATATAACGATATAAGCTTCTAATTTATTGAAAAAATGTAAATTATTTAAGCCTCATTATCTTTAATTAAGGATGGTGATGTGTCCCGAACCGGGGACGAGGGCAAGGATTCCCTGCTAAAACGGGTTCCGAGGTCGGGGATCCTCGGTAGACTCAAACTAACATATATTTTTCATAGGGTTTGACCGGAGACCGGGACTGGAGGCTATTACTAAAAACCGCGGCCGGAGATCACAAAAGCCGCCCATCCCTACCCTGTTGCCATGCCTATCTTTAATGGTTTTTTTTAATATATGTAAAAAATAAAAACCAAATAATAAATGATTTGCCGCACACGGTTTCATATTGTAGTCAAGTAGTGTGGTGTGGTGAAGTGGGTCCATTACCCCCGCAAGTTTTTATTTATGTCCCCCCCTAACACAAAATCCATAAATCGACTCTATCCCATATCTTACCCACCTTATTATTATTATTATTAATTTTTTATATTTTTATTTGATTTGATTTGATTTGATTTAATGTAAATAATATAATTATCAAAATAAAGAAATTTAATATACTTTTAGTAATTTAACACTGTTATTCGTGGTGATCTGGTTAAGATAAAAAACAATATGGTTGTTACGTGAACCAGATTGTCATATTTTTATTCTTATTTAATACCGTTTGTCAAAAGATGATTGGTTCGTTCTAGTTTTTTTATAAATAAAATTTATCTTATTAAAAAAAAGCTTTTAATAGATTTCAAAAAATAAGCCTTCAAAAGAAATTATATTTTTAAATTCTTAGACATATTTTCATCGTAACAATTTCTTTTTTCATTTTAATATCTTGTTACATTGAAAATTCCTAAATTTTCAATTCTCTATAAGTTTTTATTAGTTGATCGTTGTAGTCTAAAATAAATTAAATATTAAATAGATAATTTTTGTAAATTGATATTTTAGGTTGAAATTGAATTTAAAAAAAGGATAATTTTTTTTGGGTTAAATCAAAATTAAAAGTTATATGCATGAATACAAGAAAACGTAATATTTCTAATAAGAGATTAGATTGGATGAAACCGGTGAAAAATTGACGGGGACCCAAAGTTTCATGGGTCACAACGGGTCAAATAAAACCCAGTATCCACTTATTGGCTGTGATCCATGTTTACATGGACTTGGGTAAATAGTTGGGCATATTTGGGCTTCTGACGTTGCTGTTGGACAGATGGGGTGAGATTAGCTGGGTTGGGTTCGAATTCCTGACCATGTTTTTTTTAAGATTGCGTTTGGTATATGAGACGGGACAAAACTTATTGTCTCATGTTTGACGTAATATGAAACAAAACAAGAATTCAATGTCTTATGTTTGACGTGACATGAAATAGGGACAAGAACTGTGATAAAATGAGACAAAAGAGGTTTTTCTTGTTTCACCAAAATAGGTAGAACAAGATAGAAGAAGAATGAGAAAACAATAAAATATTACTAATATACTTTAGTTTGATATATAACCTTAATATGATATTTGTTTTAATGGTCATCACCACTAGTATCGACCGCTACCACCACCAGTGATCACCGTTGGCCATCTCCACCTTCTTTTCCACTACAACAACATCCTACACTGCTTTCTACAACCACCTCCATCGCCAGCTCTGCCACCGACGACCACCGTCCATTGCCACCACCACTACGCCGTTGGTCACCTCAAACTCCTCCTCTACTACAACAACCTCCTCCACCATCTCCACGACTATCGTCGGCCACCGACTTCCACCGTCCATTGTCACCTCCATAACCACCATCGACCACCTACCACCAACACTACCACCGTTGGCCACCTCCAACTCCTCCTCTACCGCAACAACTTCCTCCATGACCTCCACAACCATCGTCGACTACCGACCACCACTGTCCATTGCCACCTCTGCAACCACCATCACCACCACCATCGTTAGCCACATTCAACTCCTCCTCTACTGCAACAATCTCCTCCATGACCTCCACAACCACGTCGACCATCGACCACCATCGTCCATTGCCATCATCACCTCCAACATAACCACCACCACTACCTTAACTATATTGGCCACAACTAACTCCTCCACCGTTGTCAACCACCACCAGCACCATAATCCACCATCTTCAAGTCCTCCACAACCACCGTCATCCACTGTCATCCACCAACAACTATTACCTCTACCTCTATAACCACCAACTACTAGTACCTCTACCTCTATAACCACCAACCATTATTACCTCTACCTCTATAACCACCACCACTACCAACCACCATCAATTATATCAAATTTTTCATTCAAATTTGGTACCATTATATATGTATGTATTTATTTTATATGAAAATTGTGTAAAAATATTTATAAAATAAATTCTTTAATTATTTATTTTATTTGTGTTAATTATAATTATTATATAATCTTTAAAATAATCAAATAACTTTTGAGGACAACTTGTTTAGTTCTATCCCGTCCAGTCCTAATTATATCAAACACCAGACAAATATTTGTTCTGTCCAGTATTACCCTCTTGTTCTATCTAATTATGTTTTGTCAAGTCATGTTTGCATACCAAACACTAGCTAAAGTACTCAAAAATTGTAATATATAGTAGCTCATAACAGCATTTTTATTTAAAATTCTACCAAATTAAATAATTAAATTTTATGAGAATTGCCAAATAGCTACTTGATGTTAGAAAGTTATATTTTAGCCCCAGAAGCTGTTACAAATGAAAGTAATTACATATATATATATATATATATATATATATATATATAGGTGGAGGTTCAAACGAGAACCCATGTGATTTATGAGAATGTGAGAACAACCCAATAACCTCAAAGTTGTTCTCACAATAACCTCAAAGTTATAGAAATTCATATTGGCTCTTGTAAACTATCATACTAATTTATGTCATTGTGGGACCCTAGCTGGTAATGTAGTTATGTCAAACATATTTTAACCTAGATTGGGGCAAGCCCAAGACCAAGAGTTCCTAAAATTTACAATTAATCCCAATTTGGAAAAATTTGTTGCATTTCGGTCCCAACTAAATGTGAATTTGTTGGTTTTTTTTATAGGATGTATGTAGATATATTATTTTGAACTATGGTTTGATGCATGCAAGAAAATGTGTTTTTCTGAGGATGCATAAACCTGCTTTTAATTGCACAATGTGATGTGTCGTGTGTTGTCAACCCACGTTGTATGTGTGATTGAGATTATCAAGGGGCTACGATGGTTTCATAGCAGTGGTTACAGTAAGAAAAAGGCAAGTGGGGTTTTTCAGGTTTGTAAAAACTTAAACCGTGAGAGCATGACAAGTAGACCATGTCGGGTAAAAGAAGAGAGTTTGGAAATAATGTGTACTCGTTGGATTTTTACAACCACTGCGCATAGACAACAAGATGAAGATGTAGCAATTGGAACTATTTGTTGCCAAAGGATGAGAAGACAAGATCATGATAGCAGATTATAGTGCATCGAAGATGAGTACCGATCATAATGATATAATGCATCAAAGATGAACACCGGTCATCATGACTTACAGAGAACGACTAACAGAGTACCACTGAGTGAAGATTCCCTCCATAGCACGATCAAAGAAAGAAACTAAAAGGGGGTAACTAGGTGAAGTCGAGGAAAACAAATCTAGAAATCCATGATTGTTATTCCAGTATAGAATGGTATGAGGGTTAATATGCAAATTCATCATTTTGGAAGGGGTAAAGTGAAATTTCCAAAGTGCCTATCAAGTATCAACCGTCGTATCACACCTTTTTAAGCCACACACTGACCCATAAACATAGATATCAACTACTGTACGGGGATTGACATTGCTGTTCTTGCTTTTAGAACTCCATCAAACGAAAATTTTGCCTTACACCTCAAAACATACAAAACGCAGTTCATCTCCTTCTGGTTTGCAATTCCCACTCCATAAACCCTAAACAGTTCGTGATCCCTATATATATGCATGGCTATGGTGCTCATCATCTTCATCCCCAAACACGGTTCTCTATTTTCATGCAAATATCTGATCAAAACCAAAAGGAATGTCAAAAAGTTCTGAAACTTCTCCTCTTGCTAGTTCTTCTGGAAAACACCCAAAGTATAGGGGAGTGAGGCAAAGAAGAAGTAGTGGGAAATGGGTTTCGGAAATTCGGGAGCCAAAATCACCTAATCGTATTTGGCTTGGTACATTTCCCACCCCTGAAATGGCAGCGGTGGCTTATGATGTGGCAGCATTGGCACTGAAAGGTGGAGATGCTGAGCTTAATTTCCCAAATTCAGCTTCTTCATTGCCTGTTCCAGCTTCTTCTGCTCCACGTGACATCCAAGCAGCTGCTGCCAATGCAGCTGCAGCTTCTGGGGCAGCAATGGATGCTTTCTTGGGTGGTTATGGTGGTGGTGGTGCTGCAGCAGAACCGCCAGTGATCGGAGGTGATGGATTTATCGATGAAGATTTGATATTTGATATGCCCAATGTGCTTGCAAACATGGCTGAAGGGATGCTTCTTAGCCCTCCGCGGTATAATTACTATGTCGGCGAAGAGACTGGAACAGGAAACTCGATGGACCACGATTTGTGGAATTAATTGATCTTAAATCACCATATACATATATATCGCGCATATATATCGTGTAGTATGCGAATCCTAGTTGCCTGCAATATATATACATATATAGCAACTATATATAAGAATAATGTGGTGATTGTTGAAGGCTATAGTCATAAACTAGAGCTTAAGGATGTAAAATTTTATGTGGTGGAAGTTGTTTTTACATTTGAAGTGGTGTTCTTATATATAGTGCCACACTTATGTCTCTGTCTTTTTTCTAGATGACTTGAAGATCAGATAAGCATTGAGATTTTGAAGAAAACATGAAATCTTAGTCTTCAATTCAAAGTTTTACCAATAAAATAGGTGCACATGATCAATCAAATATATATATATATATATATATTGTATATGAGTGAAGTGTTAACAGGATCTTGGTTTAGGGTTTCCTGCTATATATCTTCTGTACACATATCTGTATTATATATTGTATATGTGTAAAGTATTAACAGGATCTTGGTTTAGGGTTTTCTGCTATATATCTTCTGTATCTGCATATCATTTGTTCAGATTGTGATTTGTAGAACCGAATGTTTCCTAACGGTAGAAATGATATAATGCTTAGAACAGACTCGGAATTTTCTATTACCTTTTAATTAGATCTAGGTCTTTTACATCAAGCTCAGTATATAACTAGAAAAAAACATGTATGAAACGATGGTCCACCTTATCAGAAGTTGAGATGTCGTATTCTAATCAGAGATTCCTAGTAGATTTCTACGATTGAGGATAAGTTTGAATCAAGATTGAGTAGGGCATCTGCTTAATGGTGTGTTATATATATATATATATATATATATATATAAATAATGGCTGAATGCTTTAAGGATGTTGGTATGATATTTAAAAAAAAATTAGTAGCATGCTCCACAAATCTCTCTTTATATCTTCCCCCCAAACCGATTATTATCCGGCCACCGAAGATAAGCTTTGTACACCTTTCCAAGTTCATCTTGTTTCACAGCTCTGTGTCGCAGGTTGCATCAAGAGAGGATCCATGATATTATTTGATCGAATATCGGCCACAATTAATGTTCCCATACATGTTACTGTACTTTGATTAATCCCATGGGGTCTTAAAGTTATAACAGCTATCTAGTCTGGCAAACCCACCTCGGATAAACCTGCGAGGAGTTGAACTGTAGATCTCTGAGGACCGAAACCCAAGTGTTACAAGTTGAGTTACCCCTTCCTAACTCTACCAAAGTCACCATTTATACGTCTGTGTGTGTATATATATGTATGCAACTTATGTACAAAATACAGCAATTGAACTGACTCAAATGCTTACAACACTTCTTAATATCTTCTAAACAAGATCATTTTGTGACAGACCCACATGATGATCGATCAATGGCTGGACTTGTATACATATTACTTTACAACAGCAACAGTAATACTCTGAGGACCAAGAAACAAATCAGCAATAATGCCATATATAGTGGCCTTTTAAAGTAAGTAATCTGTAAGTTGCGATGATAATAATGGTTAATATGTCAACTTAAGTGACATGTACTGTAATTAGAAAGAATCAAAGTGTAATTATGACCATGAATGACTTTGAAACTAGTTGAAGTGTTGCATATATTATGGGTCAATTAACCAGCATATATTTAGCTGTCCAATTAACTCATCCCTGCATATACAAATAAGGACTGATCATAGTGAAAAACTTCTGTTTACCCACTCAAAATTGACATCCACAGAGGTTTAATTATGATTTAAGTGGTCTCAAGTTAATATAATATTTGGGGTCTTGTTTTTGAATATACGTCAATTTGATTCCAGTTTTTAGGATATCTTCTAAGTAACGGATTCTTTTGAGATCTATCTATACTATATTACAAAGCATTTGACAAAAACTCTTAAAAACTATTTTTTATGCATGAAGTACTGTCTATTAATGTATATTACTTAAAATTCAAGATTACAAGTAAATTGTACGTAAGTACAACTAATTAAAGCTTCATACCTGAATTCGTGTAGTACTAACTGCAGATAAATATAATCAAATATTAGATAAACATCTCATTTTAAATATAAAAAATCTAAAATATAATTAAGATAATTTATTGAGTTCTAACAGAATATTTAATTATTATCTTTATAAAATTTTATATTATTAAACCAAAAATAAATTATTTCGTTATTAAACTTAAATTAAATTATAATTAAAAAATAAATTAAAGAAACTACATAAAAAATGAGAAGTTTTAAATAGTTGATTTGATATAAACATTGATATATATTTTTTTCAAATTTTTATGATATTATCAAATTTATATTTTATTCAAAAATAAAAWCATTATTGTTTTCTTAAAACTACATAAAATCGTATTATAATATCGACAAAGACAAATAATAAAATAGAACATTAAAATCGAGATGTGTCTCGCTGCATTACGCAAGTACTCTTCTAGTAATTATTAATGCATTTTCAACTTTTTGCAAAAGAAATCACACATTTATCCAAACAGAAAAATAGAAATATAACATAAACAAATAAGCAAAAAAAATATAGAAAAAACCAATAAACCTTCCCATGTTTTAACTATTGAAATATTGAAGTTTCTAAATATTTTTGTTTGAATAAGTAAACAATCGAACTTTTAGAAATTGGTTATTTACATTATTTTAACATAAAAAACGACATGTAACAAGCTAAGAAGGTTTTGAAGTAAAAAAGATGCTAAATTTGTTTTATCATTCTCAAACCTTTCGCTATTAAAACTCCTTGCACCCAAAACCATCACTCCCCCTCGCCACCCCATTGTCGTCCGCTCTCCATCATCGCCCGCCGTCGTCGTTGCTCGTGCCATCGATCTCTCTTTTTGATATGTTATTTTCTATTTTTTGGTTCTTCATACTTTTTAATCTGTTTGTACGTACTCTATTAAAATGTAGGAAAAAACGATAATTGAAAAACAAATAAAAAAAGGAGATCCATGGCAAGGGGTAACAATGATGGTGAGTGGACAACAATGGGTCCACAAGCAGTGGCAAGGAGGAACAATATGTCGTTTGGGTGTGAGGGTTTGAATACAGTTAGATTTGATGATGGTAAAACTGATTTAAAGTTTTTTTTTTTTTACTTTAAAATCATATCAGTAGGTTTGCTGAAGCTAATAGCCCATCGTGCGAGATCCCACTGGGGCCCACTATGCCAAAAATGAGAGAAACCCCATCCCTCTCTTTCCTTTTTTCTCCCCCATGCCGCCACACATAGTGGGAAACCATGTATGTCCAAACAGTGAGCACAATTTTCCATAATGATGTTACAAGTATACATCGACACTGTGATCGCTACAAGTAATAAAGTGGTAAAAATATCAAGATCGTATTCATAGGAATCGAACTTCAGAGTTTCAAGTAGTAGGTCGAGAATACATTGATTTCAATTAGAGAAGAAGAAAATACATTTGGCAAGTTTGATGATTTTCATAACGAAATATAAACAAGTAACTAAAAATAGATATGTATGTAAATGTCACCTAAGAGATCAGTATTAACAAGATGGTCAAGTAGACGAGTCTATAAAACATCTATAAAAGTCCCCATCTCTTGAAAATTGAACTTCCATATAGCTTAACACATATAATCGCATTGACAATGAATGTCATCCATGCATTGAGCACTAAGAAGACTAGACTTGTGATAATCCTTGCAGAGCTGAATGCACTCCGATATAACACATTGATCAGTGTTCAAAAGGTCTACACATGTTTTAGAGATCAACGTTTCAGTCCCTGAATAAAATACACATAAAAAACAACCGTGTAAATCTATCAAAGACAAATAAACAAATCTCCCACCTATTAACCACTATGATCTTATCAACGATTTTTATCGCCTATCAAGATTAAAGGTGCGCTTTTCGTTTGTGATTGTGTATGTCATACTGATAGTAAATAATTAATATACATATATATTACAGAAACCACTAAATTAAGTAAAGATTACCAACTGTAATTGTGAGTACGAACAAAAGAGCAATGCACAGCTTAATGGATGCCATAATTTATGGTTTGCGGATATTGTTTACAAGATTAGATCTGTATATCTATCAAATGTTTCAACATTGTTAATTTGTAGGGAAAAATTTAAGATGAACACATGATATTAATATTCTTATATTTTGGTGAATTTAGTTTAAATCACTAAAAATGCATATTATTGGTCTCTTTAAAACTTAACCCCCATATTAATGTTAAAGAATGTAAATTAAAATGTTGATCATGGTAACCCCCATATCAATATTAGTTGAAAAATGAGCATGAAGTTTGTTATTTCTAATCCTCAAATATTATATTATATTATATTATATTATATTATATTATATTATATTATATTATATTATATTTAAACTCTTAACAATAATTTTTTATATATTAAGTACTATTTATTGATATATATTATTTAAAGTTCAAAATTACAAGTAAATTGTGTGTATGTACAAGTTATTAAAGTTGTATGTTTGAATTCGTATAACTAACTGGTAGATAAACATAATCAAATACTGAATAAGTATCTTATTTTAAGTATAAAAAATCTAAAATATATATTTAGGATAATCATTGAATTCTAACAAAATCGATGCATATTTAATTTAATACTAAAATCGCTGCAATTTTTTCCAAAATTTTATGATACCTTCAAATTTGTATTTTGTTCAAAATAAACGAAACATTAAAATTAAGATGTATATCGCTGCATTGCACGAATACTCTTCTAATATTATATTATAAAACACTTAAATTCACTTTTTAAAAAATATAAATATTAAATCATTATGTACAAATTAATAATATATTCTTTTTTTTTTTTTTTTTTTTTTTTTTCAGTTTTTATGATATTTCTATTTTACTCTTTTGTAAACATTTATAATAAAAACTTGAAAGCTTTTAGAAACTCATATTATCTTTTACATATAAAGAGACCAAGTTTGAACTTCCACATATTTAATGTGATACATATAGACAGATAAAAAACAAAGAATAAAAAAAACGATCAAAAAAAGAAAGATCAATAACACGGACTAATAACGAAAAATTGACAAAAATGCCTAAGTCTCAAATACTTTTCATCTCAACTCAGGGCTCAAATGAACATTCTTACAAATAT